AACCACTCTCAGTTAGGTCCCTTCTCAGCAGTGCATGCCTCACCCATCTGTAAAGACTTCGGGTCCTGGAGTGTTCCCCTGGTGGTGACAGTGCTTGCTAACCATAACGAAAAGTTTTCCCTCACACTGGATTTAAATTTTTGCAGCAGGTTAGCTCTCTCCACAGTGGTTGTGGGGAACAGTATTTTCTTCTTACACGCAGCTAGCATCTAAGAAGTGTGGCCAGCAGGTCGAGGGAGGTGATTCTCCCCCTCTACTCTGCTCTGGTGCGACCCCACCTGGAGTACTGCATCCAGTTCTGGAGCCCCCATTACAAGAGGGACGTGGACCTGCTGGAGCGTGTCCAGAGAAGGGCCACGAGAATGATCCGAGGGCTGGAGCAGCTCTCCTGTGAGGACAGACTGAGAGAGTTGGGGCTGTTCAGTCTGGAGAAGAGAAGGCTCCGACGTGACCTTCTTGTGGCCTTCCAGTATCTGAAGGGGGCCTACAAGAAAGCTGGGGAGGGACTTTTTAGGATATTGGGTAACGACAGGACTAGGGGGAATGGGGCAAAGCTGGAAGTGGGCAGATTCAGGCTGGACATGAGGAAGAAGTTCTTCACCATGAGAGTGGTGAGACCCTGGAATGGGTTGCCCCGGGAGGGGGTTGAGGCCCCATCCCTGGAGGTCTTTAAGGCCAGGCTGGATGAGGCTCTAGACAGCCTGATCTAGTGGGAGGTGTCCCTGCTCATGGCAGAGGGGTTGGAACTGGGTGATCCTCGTGGTCCCTTCCAACCCTGACAGATTCTGATCTGTTTTAGCAGAGGACTTTAGAGCCCTAATGGCTCAATGGTTGGACTTGATGATCTTGGAGGTCCCTTCCAACTTAAATGAATCTATGATTCTATGTGTTGGAATACTGTTATTGTGGCTTGTCTCGGCCTCCATTTCTTTAAGTTAAACAACCCCAAATCTCTCTTTGTTGTAGACCATGTTTTCTCTGACTCCTTTCTCACTCTATGTGCTGTGGCCTGTCATCAGTTGGTTCACAGCTTCCCTTCTGTGATATGCCCAGAACTGGGCATCACGTGCTGAGCTAAGCAGGAAAAGAGATTTGGAGTGTTTTATAGGTCAGGCTGTTGTTTATACAGTGAGATTTTTAAGACCAAAATACATTGCACAAAGATGATGTAATACATATGTGTATTTTCGGGAGTGAATTAACAGCTGTAGGGATGAGATGAGGCTAATCTTTTTGTCTCTTGCTTGCTTGCTTGCTTTTAGATTCATTTATTCAGAAATTTGAGGGACTGTCTGTGTTTTAAATTGTACTTTTGCATCAGTATTTTAACTTGACCGGTTATTTTTGTAAATCTGTTTTTTTTAGGCAGATTTCAATTTAAAAATAAGGATTACGGTGTCCATAGGACATGATACAAATAACTGTTTTTATTTATAACTGAATCTGTAACTTTTACTTTGAACAGTAGAGGGCATCGTATGACTGAAGGTTCTAATAAAGGATGCTTTACAGGTGTTTTCTCCAGCAGAAAGTGAACCTGCTTAAGAAATTAACAAATTCCACATCTTCATTGGTTCTGGATTAAGAGACTTTGCTGGAATATTATGACACGTTGCCCACGTATGGAAATGGTTAATGTTTTACACCTTTAATCTGCTTTTTCTTTGTTTTCAGTTGTGAAGATATGAAACTCCCTTTTGAGGGTGTTCTGCAGGAGCACAAACTATCAATAGGAGCTGGAATAAGCCTGTGAATAGTGAATCGATTGGATGAACCTTGGTTCTTCCTTGAAAACCCAGGTCTGGTGGGATACTCTGCGTGCAGCTCATCTCTTAGACGAGAGATCCAGCAGAGTCATCCAGCAGCCAGGGACCCCTGCAGCACCCGAGTCTTCTGCAGACACTAGAAGCAGCAGTGCTGACATTTGGGAAAGCAGCAAAAGCTGACCAGGCAGAAAAAGTGTGTGTTCCAGCCCTGGCACCTCCCAAAATAATGAGTCATTTCCCAAAATCATCAGCCAGCCTTGGAAAAGGTACCTTTGCAGTTGTTTCCTGTCTTTTATAGCTTCTAGATACCACTGCTTAGTTTTCCCGTGTAATTTGGTTTATCAGAAATGGACTTTATTGCATTATTTCTTTTTAATTTTTAATTGCAAATTGTGATTCTCATGTCATAACTGGAGTTCCTGCTGCTGGAAGGAATACTTCTTGAATTCCTGCTACATTCAGAAGAATGAAAGGAAAAGCTGAGAGGCTCGGAGCTAGTCTCAGAGTTGCAGTGTGGGGAAGGAAGGAGTAACACTGAAGTTGGGGTGTGGAAAGCACCTTGTTCCCCCTTGATCTTTTTGCAACAAATCGCCCTTAATACAGTTTAATATGGTTTATCCTTTCCTGTCTAGCCTCTGACTGATCTGGGTTCCTTTTGAAAGCGTGTTAAGTGTCAAGACCACACAGCTTAGCTCCAATGCAAGGTGCTTGTCACCAGCATTTTACAGACAAGTGTGCCCCCGTGCTGTGCACACACTCTCACCTGGTTTGCAGGTCTGTGCCTGGCTCACGTTGTTGGCATTGGGCAGCTTTCCTATTGATTGACCTCAGTCCCTCATTTTCTCTTCCCCATTCCCTGCATTCCTCCTGTCTCAGTGTCTCTGAGCCTGCCCACAGCAGGTCTGGCAGTGGTCTCTCCTGGTGTCTGAGATGTCTAGGGCTTTCACAAGTCCATGCCATGTGGAAATAAAATGCAGATGAATAGGAACTAACTTGGTACCTCTTGATCTGTTTCAGTTACCCTAGAAATAATATTTTAATTTCCTTATTTGCCAAAAAAACAGGTTTGCTTCTTCTGACCTCACTCCTGAAATATTTGGTGTGTAACTTCTTAAAAAGTATCGAAGGACAAGGAAATAGTAATGAGAATGAGGATGAATCACAAGATTAATAAACAAATGCAGCCTGACACTTACAAAAAAAGGGTAAAACCCTCGGTGCTGTGTTTCTGCCAGCTTCCTTTTGGCCTTATTTGAAGGTCAGAGACATTTGTATCCAGCTTGCTGTCATCAGTGGGGAACTCCAGTTTCCCTCAGCAGTGAGTAAATAACCTCAGTGATGTTTCCAAAAGCTGTATGGTGAGGTCAGAAGACAATCTGTGATGATATTTTTAATAATGAATAAAAATGCTGGTTCCAGATCCTACATGGCTGAATCCTGACACACAGCCAGTGCGTAAATCCACCTGTACAAACTGGGGCCCCTCTTTCCAGTGCCAAGGCTTGAGTTTTTCTCCAAGGGCATATGTGGGGATCACAGCTGGACACTTAGTTGAGGCCACTTGCTAAGAGCGTTAACAACAGCAGTGCCTATTTTCCTTCTTATTTGGACACACTCCTGGTCTCCAGTGATCCCATAATCTCCCAGAGAAAAATATTCCCCTCTTGCCCTCCCCTGGAAGTTGCATGCCAACAGCACTTGCTTGCACCTGTCAGAGTTAGGACCCAGAGCCATACTGTGGCAGACACTTGTGAGATCTTTTTCTTTCTTGCAGTGTCTTTGAGGGAATTTGGCATGTACCTTCACAGTGGCAACACTCCAACAACAGAATGAAGGGAGGAGGGATGACTGTTACCTGCTAACCCCACAGAGAGGGAGGAGCTCCATTCTTCAAACATCAGCAGAGTTATAAGGAAGGTGTGTACTTAGAGCACTTCCTCAATGTGGAAGTTTAGCCACACAACGCTGAAGACCTGTCCTGAGGGTGCTCTAGAAAGTCTCCAGAGGGTCACTTCATGGGGGAAAATCCTGCCAAGAACCACTATGCACTACTTAACCAGGGAGAAGAGAATGAGATGGTGAGTTGTATCTCTGTCTATGTCTTTCTCAGCTTGAAGCAGCAGATGGCACATGGTCTGCAAAGAAACGCTACAGGCTGTAATTTAGTTATGGGCAATGGAGGTGTTCCCATAGCAGAAATGGACAGTTAGAAAGGGAAATTTTTTTTTTTTTTAGCAGAAAGAACATAAAGTTTTATGGGTCCACTGGACTTAATTGGTTATCCTCTCCAACAGGGGCTGGCTCAGCAGATTATTGATGTGAGCTTGAGGGATGGGCCAGAGCGGTGTTCCTGACCACTTGACAGCTGAGGCTTTAGGGGCAGCTCCAGTTAGATGAGGGCTGGGAACCTTGGCTTTCTCTGGAACATAAAAACGTGTGTTATGTTTGCCTAAATTATTAGCAAATGCAGACTGTTGAGTTGGCAGCACTATTCCAGCTTGAGCGTCTGTTTAAAGCTGAATTTCTAGATACAGAACAACCATATTTCTTTCCAGAGTTTCCCAGGGAGGAGTATGTTCACACATGTTCTGTAACATGTGGAAATAAGCCCCATGTTTGTGAAACAGCTGATCTACCACATGGTGCTTCTCTTAAGTAGTAAACCCAGTGTATGACTGTGTTAAATTCAGTGCTTCTTAGCTGCTTTGGCATTACTGTGTGTTACAGATCAGCAATTTCTCACGTGTGCATTCTGTCCTTCTAAACAGATTCTGCTGCAGATGTCAGACCCATGATACAGCTGTAGAGCAGCAGTTCTCATGCATGTCTGGTAAATGCAGTGCTTCTCACAGTCCTGAGGCTGCAGAGCCACTGTAGCTCTGCTATGAGTGTGTGTAGGGTTTCTGGGTGTGCAACAGCCTCAGCAGAGCTACCAAAACACATTTCACTTACAAGCTGGCATGACTCAGTCAGGAGGTTCTGCAGAGGGATCTGGACAGGTTGGATCGATGGGCTGAGGTTTAACAAGGCCAAGTGCTGGGTCCTGTACTTGGGTCACCACAAGCCCAGGCAATGCTCCAGGCTTGTGGAGGAGTGGCTGGAAAGTGCCTGGCAGAAAAGGAGCTGGGGGTGCTGGTGGACAGCCAGCTGAACAAGAGCCAGCAGTGTGCCCAGGTGGCCAAGGAGGCCAACAGCATCCTGGCCTGGATCAGAAACAGTGTGACCAGCAGGTGCATGGGAGTGATTGTGCCCCTGGACTCAGCACTGATGAGGCCACAGCTTGAGTACTGGATTCAGTTTTGGGTGGCACAGTATAAAAAGGACATGGGGGTGCTGGAGCTGGTCTAAAGAAGGGCGACAAAGCTGGTGAGGGGTCTGGGGAACATGGCTTCTGAGGAGCAGCTGAGGGAACTGGGATTGTTTACTTGGGAGAAGAGGAGGCTGAGGGGAGACCTTAGTGCTCTCTACAGCTCCCTGAAAGGAGGCTGTAGTGAGGTGGGGGTTGGTCTATTCTCCCAGGTAACAAGCAATAAGATGAGAGGAAATGGGTTGAAGTTGCACCAGGGGAGGTTTATATTGGATATTAGGAAGAATTTCTTTCCTGAAAGAATGGTGAAGCATTAGAATAGACTGCCCAGGGTGTTAGGTGGTGGAGTCACCATCCCTGGAGGTGTTCAAAAAATGTGTGGACATGGTACTTTAGGACACAATTTAGTTGTGATAGTGTTTATTTGAGGGTTGGACTCGATGATCCTAGAGGTCTTTTCTAGCCTTAATGATTCCATGATTCTATGACTGTTCGCTTCCAGAAATCATGGAGAAATCTTCAAGATTACTCACTGCGAGTTTTGTTTTAGTGAGAAGAGGCCATGTCATGGAAAATCATGGACTATCCCTAGATACAAATGCAGATTTTCAGTCAGCTCTCTGCCATCCAGAGAAGGGGAGATGTCATATTTTGCACAACACAAACCCAGGTATGGTGGGACGTGCTGGGGAAAGCAGTCCAGAGTCACCTAGCAGCAGGGACTGAGCATGGGCACTGGCCACTGAGGACTGATGAAGCTGTTGAGTAGTAGATGCAGTTAAAGCCATAGCCAAATTGTGCTAGATTTGGCAGGTGTTTATGTGTCTCTGTTGTGTGTGTGTAAGAGAGAGAGAAAAAAAGCTTGTAAGACAGAGGAAGATATCTGTGAGGGTGTTTGAGGTCCTGTAAGAGAACAAGGAGAAACTAATGTGTGCATAGAAAGAGAGAACAGCTAGTGTGCATATCTGTGTGAGAAAGAAAGTAACAGGTAGGTTTGATAAGTTGTGAAGAAAGAGACAAAGAAGGCTGTGGTTAAGCAGAAGAGAGAAGGAGAGTACACGGAGTAAAAGAGAATTATGTGCAGACGTTCTTTCTTTGTTACACTCATGTGTTTTAAATTACTGGCACAGCAAGTGGTGCTGGCACATAATGTTTCTGTGACCCTGCAACATTTTTTTTTAAATTCTAAGCCATGGAAAATGTTTTTCAACGTTCTTTTTAACAGTCAGTTTAATCCACACAAATCCAAATTATTAATAAGCAGTTCTTGACTCCTCAAACAAGATCATATCACTTGATGTCATAGTGCTGACATTGTGCAGGTGCCAGTTCTTCCAGAGTGAAATTGTTCAAGTAGTTTTGAAAGCATGCAAGTAGTTCATTTGGGCTCTGGACATGCAGTGCTTTCCTGTGTTGAACTAGCTGTCTGTTTTGCTGAGGTGAGTTGTGGAACCCTAACAAGAGGAAATGCTTCTAAGTTTTCTTCAGTGTTTCCATTTCTTGGTACAGCTAAGATGTTGGATAGCCCTGTATTTAAGAATAATCACCCTGGCTTAGGAAATCTACCCTGTATATCCTTGTGTAAATTTTTGGGGTTACTTTACTTGGCTGGAACACATGTGCTTGACCAAGAGTTCACCCTCTTGGTACAGAGCTAAAACTTAGCAATGTATATTCAGAGCATGAGACAATGAGTGTCTCTCTTCATAACCATTTGTAGTACCAGAAAGGCCACAGTATTGTGCGAGCACTCTGGACTCAGCAGCTTGCCTCAGAGAGGGCTAATGGGTATGGTAATAAGAAGAGACTTTTTTTTAGGAATTAGCTTGCTTGCTTTTTTTTTTTTTTTTTTACTTCAGAAAGATCTGCTTGAAAGTATTTTTGAAAAGAAGTAATTGTTGGTGGGAAAGGAAGAGAGAGGAAAAACACAGCTTCACAGCTTTATGCCTTCTGCCAATTTGATGCTCCTCTCTGTGCAGCTTGGTACTAATCGGTCCCTTTGCACAAACCCTAATGTGCAAAACATAAGTCTCAAAGTGCAAAAGACTGGGATAGACTTTGACAGGCTACTGCTTTAGGAAGGATTTGCCCATCTTAAGCACATGGTCCTCAGTTGCTTATGTCTGAAGGAATGGGACAAGTGCAATCAATCAGCTAGTGAACCTCAGTTTGCTGCTGCATATTGGCAGCTGTCTGTCTCCTCTGAGATGTCAAAATTTGAAGGGAGTCTGATCCAGGAATTTTATATACTCTGAGTTCAAAAAATACAACTCCTAAAATCAAGATAGAATCTGAAAGACACAACCTTGTTCTTAATGGAATGATAGTGAATGTTGCTACTGGCTTCAGGGGGAACAGAAACAAACCTCTGAAGAAATAGGTTCTGATTCTGGTAAGAATAAGATTCAGTTATTAAATTCTTTGTGATTCTTAACCAGTCTTTCAAGTCTAATCCTATTATCTGTCGTTATAGCAACAGGGTGTTTGTAATAGGGTACCTGGTGATTGGGTTGCCAGAAATATGACAGTTCACAGCCACTGTTTAGGCTCTTTGCTGGTTGCTGGACTTGTTTTCACCAAAGTGAAGGGTGCCTGAACTTGTTTGAATTTTACATGTAAATTCTGCTGTGCAGATGACCTGGCAGTTACAGGCAATTTTTCTTTTAAATGTAAGTAACAATGACTTGCTGGACACTAGAGTGATAAGCCCTTGAGTGCTGGCTTTGTATGATTGTAAAAGCAGCTAAGAACCTTTCTTGGAATAAGCACATTTTCTGCCAGCTGAGCAGGTCTGGCAGCTCTTTCTGTCCAATAATCCATAATAATAATTCTGCCCCTTCCTAGATCCTTCACTCACAAGTTAAACCATTTTGTTTTAGTCACTCTTCTGACTGTTAGGACCTCAATAGAAAGGTGATGTTAACTGACGAGGAAACAAAGTTTTACAGTACATTATAATTTATTAAAAATTATTCTATAGAGATGAGATAAGCCTGGCATACCAGCCTCTTCTGTAGACAGTGCTACCTCCTGTGAGATAATGAGAAGCCCTGTGGAGCCTTACAGGTAGCTAACCTTAGCTTTGTTTTCTCTGTCTCTTAGTCTGGTGCCCTCAAGAACCCAGGTTATTTGGCTGTGTAATGTAATATATGCCTGTATGCCAAATGCACACATTGAGTCCTAAAAGCCTGCTCACACAGTAGAAAAGTTGCAGTGGGGCATATCTGTATTCCTCAGACACATCTTCAAAATAGGCATGTCTGCATCAGCACAGCCTCTTGGTGCAATGAAGTGCAACCCAGCAAAAGTGATCCTGTTTTCCTTAATAATGTAAAAATGATGTGAGAGGCATGTTCCTACTGGTGACCTCACCACCAGATTTCTGCCAGCTCTGGGAGTATTGTTGGCTGTAGTGGACACGCATTTGCTTTGAGATCTTTGTAGTGCAGGCTTAATGAATCCTGAATAAGCTTGAAGAATTTCTAAACCCTAATTACTGTAAGCATTCACGTGGCTAGACAAACCTGCTGAGAAACCTGCATCTTGTGTGTGCCTGTTCCTCCATTCTTCATGCACATTCTGGATGCATGTCTGTGGGTCTGATAGTCACCCTTTTTTTTTGAGAAGATAATGTTTTTGAGAATTCTCTTAAAGAATTCCACTGTTGAACTATTTGACAAGTGAGAAGTGTTTATACTAATAAATACTATTTCTATTTCAACAAGCAGTTGTTTATGTGCTAGATGTTTTTTTTATGAATGCAGTGTTCATTGCTATAGTCCTTCCAGCTGAAGGCATGGGGTCAGAAAAGACACCTCAACCTAACAGAACATTTTATTCCAAAGTTAAGTATTGACAGGTTCTGGCCCAGGAAAGCTGATCACAGGTTAGATCCTGCGCTCAGTCTGTTTCCCTGCCTGGCTTTACTTCTGAATGGTGTGATATAACCTGCTCCAGACATTTCCAAGCAATGGGGAATACTTTTCTTTGGCTTTAGATTCTTGCATGGACATCCAGATACAGACCAGCAGTTAGCATGTGATGTTTATTCTTCCCCAGCTTACTCCTTGTAGAGCTCCTGAACATCTATATTCAGAAATGTCATATTCATCAAGACATAAACCAAAGAACTTGAACCAGCACCTGTGTTCATTGGGCAGAATGTGCACTGGATCAGAACAGCTCAAGAGTGTCTGTCTGCCTGTCTATCCATCCATCCATCTGTCTCTCTCTCTCAGGAAAGTCCCCAGCAGATGTCTTAAGATGAATGTCTTAAGAGCATGGCCTTTTTTTCCCAGCTGAACTGTTTACCTTGTCTTCCTCTCTTCTAGTTTTCAAGGTGAGGAATGCTGATATATACTTGGTTTGGGGAAGTAGCTTGAGATCTAAGGAATTAAACCATTTTTTTGAGGGGAAACTTCTGGAAAACAAAGGCCTGGAAATATGCAAGCATAGGGAGGCTCAGTTGCATATTTTATTTTGATATGTAAGTACATGGTTTCCTAGGCAGAGAAAGAGTCTACCCTATCTCTATTGCTATGTTGTTGTATCAGGCTTGGGGAATCATTCAGCATTTCAGCAGAGAAGAACACTCACAATTGAAGGTGATCCCAAATCACTGCCAATCACATGCTGATTCCCTTCTGTCTCCCTTCTTAACTGCATTATCTACAGTCTTATTGATTTCTCAGACTTTGAGTCTAAGGCATAAAAGCTGGAAATTAAAGGACTGATTCACTGACAGAAACAAGATGCACATGGCAGCAATCTCATTCTTCCCACACTGATATTCATGCCCATCCCAATCTGAAAATATTATTCCAGTTGTTCCAGGTCCAACCATTTACTGGAGGAAGTGTGAAGGAATGTTCTTTTAACGGTTCTTCCCTTAGGTGTCTCTGATTCCTTGGGAGTTCCTTTGCCTTGCTGACAAGCTGTAAAGTCTAGATCCAAGCACCTGAATCTTGCTAATAAGCTATGGCTGTGAGCAGTAAGTTCCCATTGTTCTGTGTACTATTCTGCATGTTGGTGCTGACACTAAGTTTGTTACCTCTTTGTTAAGCATACAACTAGACAGCGATCAGTGGAGAGCTCTTTACGTGTTTATAGGAGCGTGTGAATATTAACAGCATGACTGCCACACCAGCCACCTTCTAGCAACCCTGCCTCTCTGCTGTCCTCCATGAGCTTCCTTCTATCAGCTGTCTTATTCTCTTGAGCTGCTTAGAGGTTATAGAAGCCTCTCAAAATGCTGAGCATGTGCATCTCAGGGTGGTATAACCAGCTCCCGTGCAATTCAGGCCACTTCCCTGTGTAGTTTACCATCCTTTTTCTCCACAGTTACCAATTTCTTCCCTTTAGAAACCCCATGGAGATTACTTAAGAAGATAGAGCTTGTCTTTTGGAGAATGACATAGAACAGGTAGGCTGAGACAGCATGTGGAGCCACTGGGTAGGGCCTGCATTTCACATAACAAGTGAAGACACCAGCACAGAACCAGGAATTATGCATTACTCATCCTTCCAATTATATTGCCTTTTCTTGTCACCTTAGGAATGGATCTTGCAATATCTGTGGCCGCAGATATCTGATCTTCAGAAGCAGGTTGCACAATTGCTGTAGATATACTAGGAAAACAGAGATTGAGGAATCTTATGCTAGCAAATTCTCCTGGTCACCTGATGTAATTGCAGCCATACAATCTCCAAATCTTAGATCAGTGCTGAGTGTCTTCTATAAATTCAAACTATACATTTCATTTCATCTTTACCACATCCCTGCTAGCATTACTGAGAGGGAATTTGGCCATGGTACCAAGACCTGGCAGCTCCCAAACTGTAATGCTGCCAGTCATCCCTTTGAAGTTTTTGGCAAGTCACCTTGCCTCACTGTAACAATTTCCCCAGCTTTAAAAATGGAATAATCATACCTAATCATACAGCTACAGTGAGTAGCTTCCTGTGGCCCTCTGAATGTGTAAAGCATTCTGCAAGTGGTAATTAATTCTTCTTACTAACAGTTATTATTATTATGATGATGGGATGTTAGGATCCTGGCACATTGACGAAGTCCAAAATCCCCATACTGGAGCTGTGGTGGCAGATGGTCGCAGCCCTGGGAGGGCAGGTGCAGCCACAGAGTGTTGTTCAGCACCATGCAGAGACATGAGGGGGGGCTCTGAAGCGTAGGCACGTTAGGGCAGACTCACTGCTGTGGCAGCACAGCAGCAGTGCTGGTTCTGAAACAGGCACATCTCAGCTGCTGCAGTGGGTCTGCACCACTCTCCATCCCCTAGTGCAGATATACTTGGGTTCATCAGCTGTCTCACCCAGGGACCTTAAAAAGGCTGAGCAGACAAAGCTGTGTTCCTGACTTGGGGCTTCTTCTTTTTTTTTTTTTTTTCTACCATTTCAACTGATGCACACAGATAACTGTCTCATGCTGTCCTGGTCTGAGTTACAAGAGAACTAGTTCTGTTCAGTGATTTTACTTTTCAATTAAGTCTCTTCTAACTGTCTGTACTTTCTGAAGTTAACAGCATATTTTCACAGACAGTGTCTGCTTCTAGCAGTGTTAATGTCTGATGTTTAGAGTTTCTGCCAAGGATTGCTGTGCAGAAAGGCTCTTGCTTATACTTGCTCCTGTGCAGACCAAGGTCACTGCTAAATCTTGTGTACCATGTTTGGGGTGCAGAATGTAAAAGGCCACAACCAGGACAGGTGACCCTAAACTGACCAGTGAGAGATCCCATCTCATACATCTCATGTTCAGGATAAAGCTGAGGGATCACGAGGGTCAAGCTCTTCTTCAGTGGCCAGTGTCTGAGGGAAGACTGTCCGTTCTTCTCTTGATTCCAATCCGTATGTTCCTGAGTCCAGTTCCCAAATTCAGCTCCTGAATCCAGTTCCCATCTGCAGCTGAGTCCAGTCTAGGACTTCCTCAGTCCCTGCTCTGCAGCATCAGTGGTGACGGTGGCATAAGGGGAGGTTGGGTTCCATACTGGTTTTGTATGTGTTTGCATACATTCAATTTTAGTATTATTTTTATTTAAGCTATTTTAGCTTTCTTTTCCAATCCATATGTCTTTCTCTCTTATTTCCTTTCTCTTTTTCTTTGGGACAGGGGAGGATAATAGAGAATATCTGTCATTCATCTAGTGGCCAGCCCAGCTCTAAACCTTGACACATGCTGAGTTTCACAACTACATAGAACTATTTTAGGGGGTTTGTCAGACTACAGCAATCCATATTTTTGAAGGTGGTTGAAAATTCCTGTGGAACATACAAAATATTTTTCTAGTCACGTTTAGGACACATAAAGAAGCCAAATAGAAGTTCTGTTATTTTTTTTTTTTTTTCCACAGTACCATACCAAACAGTTCCTATGGGAGAGCAGTGGCTGATAGCAAAGTGTAGTACTACAGTTGTTTCTTTAAGAGAAATGGTAATGATTTTTCCCTTGTCTTTTCTACACAGGAGATTTTTGGCTACAAAACCCAAGGCTGGCGGAGGGCTTTGTGCATTGCTGGCTACATCTTGTCCTGTGGGGCTCTGCTGCTGCTGTTTTACTGGAAGCCCGAGTGGGATGTGTGGGCAAACTGCACCCGCTGCAGCTTGGAAGAAGCAGAAGTCTTTCTGCTCAGAACAACAGTAGGTACCTAATTAGTCCTTAGTATGTAGCTAATTGGAAGGAATACAGTTAGCCAAAATCTCGTATGTTCCTGATTTCCTGCACTAACATCTTATGTTTGCCATCGTTCATCTAAAGTTTTCTCAAGTATTCCACAAATTATGTGTAATATAAGGACTGGAATGGAGGGTAACAGCTGATCAGACAACAAGCTCAAAGACATTGGTATGAAAACCCTGTAATACCTGTGGTTTCAAGACTGTGTTATTTGCTCTCAGGCTTTCCTCCTGCCTTCCAGCGTCCCTGTGCTTTCTACATTTCCTATCTGTGCTTGAGGTTCTAAAGATCTGTTTGGTTGGCAGTGTCCAGCAGTTCCTTTTTTCCTCACTTGGCTGTCTTGCTGAAGCTGCCCCCTCTGCCAAAATTTAGCCAATGGGCCAAACCAAAGATTTGTCTAGCTCTGTCCCCAGCAGTGTCCAACAGTGCATGATGAGGGATCAGCATAAGGAAGAGGGCAAGCCTAGACTGCTTGTTTTCTTGGCTGTATGTTTCCATTTTCCATCACCTCTTCCCCTTGTCCAGTGAGCCCACAATCCTGCAGTTAAGGTTTTCAGGGCTGTTATGTTTTGCTAGTAGTTCCCTAATACAGATTTCTGTCTGTCAAGGAATGTACTGAAGTGCCACAAACCCTGATTTAATTTCATAGAAGCAACTGCAACAAGCAAACTGAGACTTGGCTCTGAATCCCAGCTGAGCCTGAATGCTCCAGGAGCTGGCAGGGTTTGTTTACTTCCAGAAGTTTGATTTGTTCTGCTTCAAAGATTTCTGAACAATGGCATTTGTAAAATGTGCAATTGCAAAACGAATCACTTGCTATCACTGTATTTGAGCTACCTTCTTAAATGAGCAGAGCAACATGCAGTTACGATATAGGGTTTTTAAAATCTTAGATCTGTGTGTTGAATACTTTATATTACAACAATCTGTATCCTAATAGGCTGAGACTATGATTTATTTTTTTTTTTTAAGAAGCATATTAGGTTCAATCTCCCTTTTTAGTCTTCAGTTCAGTTTGCGTTTTTAATTGCCTGCTCTTCTGTGTCATTTTAAATGGATTTGCCATGACAAGCACTTTTCAAATAAAGGAGTTTTTAAATGATCCTTTATGTAATTAAACAAGAATGGAGTCATATTGTATGCTCTTATTATCTCTAAAGTATGCTCAAGGAATTTGACAGTTTCAGGTTTCCTTCATAGTTCTTCATATGAAAAAGACAGTTTTATTCTTTTTCCCTTTATGTAATTAAACAAGAATGGAGTCATATTGTATGCTCTCATTATCAGGAAACTCTCTCTAAAGTATGCTCAAGGAATTTGACAGTTTCAGGTTTCCTTCATAGTTCTTCATATGAAAAAGACAGTTTTATTCTTTTTAAAAAAAAATTATGTCCATTCTCAAATGTGATGGCTACTGCTAATGAGGATACAAGTAATCCCATCAGCTTGATCCTTGGAATTCTCTTTTGCTTCACATAAAACCTTAATTCATAAATCATCATCATCTTTGTAATTGCAGTGTAAGAGCTTATTAACTCACTTTTGTTATTGAATTTTGACTCACTTTAGTTCAAATAATGAGCACCTCTGTTATTTGTTGCTTCCCATCTCAATCTGCATCCCAACGTCTACTAATTCTGAAATTTAAATTAAAGATAAATATCAGAAAAATAAATGTTACTCTACTCAAAATATTCCTTAAGAAGAAAAGTGCATAAATAAATAAGGTAAATAAACATTATTGAAGTAGTTGCTTTAATCTCTAAGACTGTACTACCAACACTAGTAATCAGGATATTCCAGTCTTGAACTTATTTTATAAAAACTGGCAAGATCATGAACTCTGGCAAAAGTTTGTCGAAGGTACAATAAGGAAGGTGTGGTGCTGACAGACTCAGTCCAGGGAAGTGTTAATATGGGAATGGCTGTGAAAAGGTATTGGTACTAAATTGTTTTGCAATACAGCACTATATTCCTTTTGATCCTCCCTTTATGGTCACTGCACCTCAGATGGTCCTGTACTGTTTGCCTTTCCTCAATCATGACCTGGCTGTTCACATTCCAGCCCTATGAGCCATGCACCAGACCTGTGGTCAGCAAATTATCTGCAGTACTAACATTTTGACAGGACCGTGGTTCTGCTCCCATTCTGCTGATTTATCTGTCAGTCACATGTGCCAGGGGTCCCCTGTTGGTTAGTCCTTTAGAAAAGCTGGAGCAGTGCTCTAGAAAAGCCTGCTGTAACCATTCACTCCGAGGTGATAGTGAGTATGGTCTGATTGTGATGGAAATTGTGACACTGATCTTTTACATTCACTTAGGATGAATTTCGGATTTATTCTCGTAAGACTGTGACATGGATCTCTGTGTCTGCACTTATCAAAAGTAGATCAGATTATCCAGCCGCTGCTGATGAGGACTCAATCTTCAGCAAAGCCATAATGAAGCCAAGTTTGCAAGTAAGTAAAGTATTCCCTGCAGCATCTGGGAGCTGATAGCAAATCTCAGCCACACTTCACGGAGCGAAAGTGAACTGTGAAACATACCCTGCTAAAAAACTTGCAACTTGTTGAACACAAGTGAACTGTGGAGGAAAAAAAAAACAAACCTAGAGATTTTGGAGAACTGTACTCACCTCTGTAAAAATGCCCTGTTACTCTGAGATGTGTTATCGAAAAAGAATCTTCACTACTCCTGAGAGAAGTACCATTACATACAGTAGGAGAGCTTCAAGACACTGGGGTTGGCAGTGAAGAACCAGAGTTCCAAATCAAAAATTCATTCCTGGCATTGGACTTGAGGAATTTAGGGGTGGCTGTGTGTCTCAAGGGAAAGTGTGAGGAATGGAACTTCACAGCTCCCATGGTAACGTGAAAATCGGGATGAATGCAGCTGAAGAGGAATAGAACAGACAAGAGTCCAGGCAGAGCTGCATCAGTATTTCCAGAAATCTTTCATCAAGGAATGTCTGAAACACATTTTGTTTTCTTGCCTTTGTATGCACCAATTTGTGCTTCTAAGTGCCTTTGCTGGAGTCAGGTCTTGCACTATTGACTGTTCTTGCAAAAATGTATGCTGGTCTCTGCCAGTTCCATAGCTTTGAGATCCGCTAGGCACTGGGGAGAAGATAGACATCTTCTCCAAGTGCATCACTAGGTCCCTCATGAGTTAAATAAATGTAATTACTCCCATTTTAGAACAAGTGCCAGACTGTTCAGTTATATGTCTTGCTTAGCATTACACATTATGTTGGTGTGAGTGACAGGAATGCAATGGGACATTTGCTAATATCTGGATCTTGATTATAGATACTAGATCACTGCACTGGGACAATCATAAAAGAGCTATTTTCCTTTCCAGGAAATAGATTTCTTACTTGTTAGCATTTATTTTTATATCTACAGCAATTTATAGGAGATATTTTTATTATAAACCTAACTTCAGCTGAGCAAAGCTGCTGCTATTACTGCTGTTTTGTGTGGGCATGTATTAATGTACATAAGAAAACTTAGTGCCAGTTTAGTCAACTGGCACAGTATGAAAGTGAAGACTGGTTTGTTACATTCTTCAGAGGATTGAATTTGTAACATAAAGAAGCCAAATACAGCCTCAAATAATAGGTTCTTTGAATACCACTTATCAATCAAAGCATCTAGACAGAGAAGAACAGATTTCAAAGCAGTAAAGAGCAAACAGTTTAATCCTTTACTAGCAATTCAAAAGCCCCTTCTTAAAAGTCAATTATAAAACATCTTTGCCATTTAAGCTACCTAAGTCCACAGAGTAACGTGTAGTGCCCAAGAGCTGTCCAAAGACCTGTTCCACAGTGAGTTGAGCCCCTCATTTCTCACTCCAGTTTTTAGCATTGCAAATATTGCGGCTCCTATTGCATGAAATCCCAACTACAGACCTCTTGTTAGGTTAATGTCTGTGGTTATAGCTCCCTTTTGAGTCAGTGTATGAGTTGAGTATAGATTTCATTGGCTTATAATAAAGCTTATTGCACTGGGTAGGGAGAGTCCCCTAGAGCTGGTTTCTTTATTACATGGGTGTATAGCCTTGCCTCCTGCCAGTGATATGAAGCACCATTATCTCTAATAGGCTTTGTTATTGTTGCACAGGACAAGACAGACTCCTTTTGCAAGTTATAAATGGCAGCATGTGTTCCTAATGAATAACTGCTCTGCAAGGGTTTAGCATTAGCAGTGAGTGACTCAGGGAGTATCCTGGGATGGCCTTTCTTGCCTGTTGGCATATCTCTTCAGCCAAAGGACTCAGCACCACGCCTGCAAACTGCCCAAAGCCTCCTGCTTTCCTCAAAGCCAGACAGAAGGAAGCGAAGACAGACTTTGACAACCATCTGCATACCCACCACAGCATCAGTGATCTCTTCCCTTTGCTCTGTGAGATGAGAGTGAGGACATATTCCTTGCTTCACAAAATAGGGAGAGAAGAATGCAGCGTTGTATGTGCTTGACCTAAAGATCTGTAAAGTGTACTGGAACCCTCGCTGCGGTGGGGAACCCATTCTATAACCTAACCAGGGCATTAGTATATGCAATCCTGTCTTCTCTCACTCCCTGCCCCCCACAGAATTTGCGTTATCTCTTCTTGACCCCAGTGAGGATGCCTACCTGAGATCCGCGAGCAGACTTAGGAGTGTTTTTGGTTGCTGTGCCACATATGTTGTTGTCCCTGTTTTGTGTTGCAGGTGAAAAGTATCCAAGTACAAAAAATCCGCTATGTCTGGAATATCTATGCAAAGCAGTTCCAGAAAGTTGGGTGAGTTCAGTGCCCTGATTACACAAGTCTCTGGGGAAGTCAAGCTTCTTTGTGACTAATGTCCTAAGCAAAACATTCCCTTTATATTTTAGAGCCCTAGAAGACCACTACACCTGCTCAGCTCTGCATGCCAAATTTGGTTCTGGTCTCACCTGCAATGAACAGAATGTCAGGTACATGTTTTAAAATGCAAGTACTCAACACATGGATTTCAAAGAGATGTAAATTCCCTGCTGTTGGTGCATTTTCCTTGAGTTTTGTGTATATCCATTAATAAGCATATAATTCTATATTATATGCATATTAATGGCCATGCATTCAAAATTATATGAAAAGGGCTAAAGAATGTTTTATAATCCATATCAAAGGTTTTGAAATCTCATTATTCATCACTGTTGTTCTCAATCAGGAACTAACAATGTCCTATAACTAACTTTAAGCACTTCTTATCTGCAGTAAGAGAAAGTTTCCATGAGACAGTGCAGATAAGTCATCTCTGTGCTTCTTCAGGGAGGCTCATGTAATTGTACTGAACTTCTAAACCAGTTAGTTTTTGTTCTCATAAATTACTGTATCATTAGACAATTTACAGAATAGATATTCCTGAAGCTGCTAAATAAAGTTGACTGAATACTGAAAATCCAGCTCATTAATGTAGCTCATGTTGAATCTTACACTCAGATCACCCTTAACTTTATGAAAATCATTGGGCTTTAAATCATTAATTTTTAGGTGCAGAATTCCTTTGTTTATGGTGCTTGAAAAGAATTCTGGTGTGATGGAAACTTTTGCCTAAAATGTTGTGTTACACCTCTTGTCTGTGTAAGCAGATTTCACTGGTACGGTCATCTTCTCTGACAGAGGCACTGGAGAGACACTTATTTTTTTTATCTTTTTCTTGGAGAAGTATCCTCACAGCCTTTAAACTGGGATTGATGCAAGCTCTCAGGACTGTTGAAAGCTTCTTGAGTGAGCTACATTGTCACTATTTCATCCATAAATGATGTATCTTTATCCCATACAGGAGAGTTATATGTGGGCCAAACACAATTGATGTTCCAGTAATCCCTATTTGGAAACTACTCATCAAAGAGGTTAAGCATTTCTGTTGCTTTTATTCTCAGCTACTTGGGGAGGTAGAGTGTACATATAGAATATGATGGATTCTGTGTCAGAATTTGCTTCTCAGTACTCGCTCATCAAGCACATTCCTTTTTCAAATCCTCTTTGAATCTGTCCCATGAGATCACCATACATTAATTTATTCTCCGTTGTTCCCTATCCTCCATCTTCATGCCTGTATACAAATACCATGCTTGGGAACTCATTCTGCTGGCCTTACAAGGGTCAGAGAATGTTAACAAACTGCACTGGAAATCAAACCTTCCAGGCAAAGACCGTCTCTTAATCAGCAGAGGTGAAGGGAACAGCAGTAGCTGGTACATGCCTACAGCTGCAGAGAGATCCAGTGAGCTCATGGCTTTGGGCACAGCACTATGTAAAGCACCAGTATCTTTTTCAGAGAGGAGCTGGCTCTGTATGGCTTGAACAGAGTGGAGATGTGCCTATGGTATGTGAGCTCCATCCTCACGGCACGACCTGCTCTTCTCTCACTTTGTTAAATGTTTTGTAAAGAAGTAAGCAAAAGCCATTCACATCCCAAACAACATCCTACTGGTCCAGATTATTTGGCCCTTATGTCAGATGGAGGTGGTCCAATCTGATTAAGCTGAAGGCAGTGCTAACAAGATTGAAAAAGTGGTTGGGAGACACCACACATAATAGCTTTTATTCCAGCCCATTTCTAATAGGGTGGACAGGCAGGGTATACTGGAGCCTTTTAAATATAGCCAGGTCTTGAGTATTGCTCTCTCTCCAAACAGGTCTTGAACCCATTTTACGTGTTCCAGCTGTTCAGTGTGTGTCTGTGGTTTGCTGAAGATTACATGGAATATGCCACTGCCATCATAATCATGTCTCTTCTCTCAATTTTTTTGACTGTTTATGATCTTAGACAGGTGAGACACCTCACCTTTTTCCGCAAGGAAGATTTATTTCTAATGTCTGGGAAAGGCCAGGATGTTACAGCATACACACCTACAGTGCTATGAGAGTTACTCAGATGTTTAATCTCATGAGAGTGTGTAGTAGCAGGTGCAATGGCCTGGCCTCCTAGTCATCATAATCTCTGTGTAGTTCTTTACCCACATCCTCCCTTCCCCATTCCAGTGCTTTGCTTCGTAACCTTTTGTTACAGCTTTTCCTTAATTAGGGTGGGGAATTTCTTTCTCTGTGTGATTGTATAGTTCCTGGCAGGGCCAGACCCCAGTTTATAAGGGCTCTTATAACCACAAATAACAAAAGGGAATACTTGTTAGTGGATGAATTGCATCATGTAAGACGTAACACTTCTGTGTGTTCTCCTTTAATTTGTAGCAATCGGTTAAACTGCACAGACTGGTTGAGTCTCATAACAACATCATGGTCACTGTCTGCAGAAATAAAGAAGGTGACTCCTGTACATTTCTTTCTTCAGTGTGTTTCATTTCTTTAGACATTTATATCAAACTCATAAATGTGTAGTACCAAACTCCTTCTAGAGCAGTTTCCTCTTCTGTCTCTCAGTTTAATTAACTAGCTTCTGCTAGTTTTGGGTCAATTTGACCTAGACGTACGTTGTGGCACATCAATCATATATGCATACCTGTTTGAGCACAGCCTTAGCAAAAAACTATCAGGAAAATGATGTCATTTTTCTTAAAGCAGCATTGACAAAGCCAGACACATAGCCATTAAATGACTGTGAGTCCATCTAATTACTCCATTCAAATTCTGTTCACTGCCATGGTATTTAGAGCACAGCCCAAAAAAATGGAGTCAGCCGGAGAAATGTAGTTCCAAGCTTGTTCAGTTAGGTCAGTGCATTGGAACAATAACCATTGGCTGGGAAGATAAGGAGGAGTTCTGTAGTTCAAACTGATGCCTGGGCTTTTCTGAGTATTCTTTGTATTTTTTCCCTTTACCACAGAGAAATATATGAAGAACCAATTTTGTCTTACGTGTCACCTACAGGTTTCCAAGAGCTGGAATCACACCATCTTGTTCCTGGAGATATGCTGGTTTTGAAAGGGGGCAAAACCCTTTTGCCTTGTGATGCCATCCTGATAAGTGGGCAGTGCATTGTAAATGAAAGCATGCTGACAGGTACAGCTCATCCCTCCCAGGTTTGCCATCAAAGCATCATCATAGTAGCCCTGTGGCTTCAGCCAGTGACATGGGACATATGGTGCTATCATGTATCACCCTTATGAGGTAATCCATAGCTAGCCTAGAAGGGGATTCTTTTGGGTGTTAATGCTGTGATAAAGGCTGAATTGTAGTTAGCCTCCACTTACTGATATAGACAAGATGGCCTTTAGGAAGGACAGTTCATCCTTTTCTTCTTTTCTGTCATACAGAATTTAGGAAGGGATCTTTCAATTAGAAAGAGAAGACAGTAAAGAGGAGTACAGCAGATATGGAGGAAAGCTGTTCCCACAAAAGGGCCCACAGTCCACTCAGGCTGTAGGGGTTTCTCTCAGTCACTCTGAATGTCTTGTTGTTGATCATTGCAACATCTCCAGCCTGCTGGATTGTTTCTCTAGCCCTCCAGACACTTAGCCTCAGCTGATGTGATAGCAGGGAAGGACACACCTGGTGGGAGAATTCACTGCAAACCAGGACTTTTGGTGCAGGAGTTGTTCGTAGTTCTGTTTCTTATCTTTAAATTTGGTCTTGGTCTGAATCTAACTGAAACCCACAGTTCTGAAACTCCCTGTAAATGAGATATTCCAGAAACCCATTCCATTTAGAAAGCATCATTTGTGAGAAAATATTTCATCTGCTTTATTTAGGATCTGCTTTGACAGAAATAGGATATTTGTCAGCTGTCAAACATTGGAGTAAAGGCTCTTCTTTTTACTAGGAAGGGGAAGTAGGAAATGTCAGGTTTAATCTGCATAAGGGAATAGTGTAGCGACCTGCACATGGGGTTCAAACTAGGTAAACAACTTGTGGCCATCAAATGGAGTCATGCAACACCAGCGTGGGTGTCTTTTCAAGCCTGTATATCTACAGCCAAGGTTTGGAATCCTTGGGCTGCTTGCAGTCCTCAGACTTACATGAAACTGATGCAAAGGCTCCGGCAGTCTGTTTGCCTGCTGGGCTTCAAACTTTCTCACTCTGAAGATGTCACAATATAATAGTGACTTTTCTTTAAAGTAGTTTCTCTAGTAAATACCTTTAACTTAACATCTAGATGTCTAGATACTGTACTTACTTGAAAGTCAGCATGCTGAGTTTAAGGTGTACTGCAGTTTTCCTTATCTGAGCTAATCTTCCCTAGGGGAGAGTATTCCGGTAACAAAGACCCACTTACCCCAAGCTGATAACCTCAAGCCCTGGAGAACACACTGTGCAGAGGATTACAAAAAACATGTCCTCTTCTGTGGGACAGAAGTCATACAGACCAAGGCCGGTGACGGAGGTGTAGCGAAAGCTGTGGTGCTCCAGACTGGTCAGTCAACACTTCAGTTTGCTTTTCTTTTCATCAGTTTGCTTTTGCTTTCATGTTTTTTCTTACTGGAACAGTCTGACTTAATGTGTCCAGTCACTCTCAGTTAAAGGTTAATCCAAATCCACAAGAGTCAGGTGGAGAATCGGTATCCTGGGCTGGGTTAGACTGTTATGTATTGTTTTCATTTGTTTGGCAGAATTTTTATAAAAACCACTAGTATATGATTACAAAGTAAAATTTCACTTTGCTTCCAAGACATTGAGAAAACACTCTTCCTTGAGACAAAAATAACTTTGTTCTATAGTCTGCAGCATAGGTCACATACACTGAAATGAAACATCTGGGCCTTCTTTCTTAAGTTACCGAAATTACAAGTAATTTTAAAGCCCTGTAGTTTTTGCAGAGAACTTTTGGAAACATTTTCCCCTTGAAACAATTTTAGTTTTGTCTTTCCAGGTTTCAATACAGCTAAAGGGGATCTGGTGAGGTCCATCCTCTACCCCAAGCCCATGAACTTCAAGCTGTACAGAGATGCTTTCCGGTTCCTGATGTGCCTTGTAGCATTTGCAGCCATTGGAATGATCTACACAGTGTGTGTATTTGCACTTAGTGGGGTGAGTTACTAAATGCAGGAGAAATGATCACGCCCAGTTTCAAGAGATTTGAAACTTAAGTGGCTTACTATACATTTATAGATAAAAATGCAGTCCTGGTCACTCTCCTTTTAGCCTTGGTGTATTAGGCCGTTTTACGTTGTAATTGACTTTGTGACAGTACACAAACTCTCATACATCCAATTCCAAGGTGCCAAGCCACACTGCTTCCCAGCAGGTATTTCTTCTGAGGTTTTAGCAAGTCCTATGCAAGCACTGCATGTCTTATCAGCAGTCTTCTCTATGTTGATAGCCTCTGTTCATGTGTTGCCCTGTGCCTGCTGGCACATGTAATTACCAATGTATGTAATTAACATAATGCTCTCTAGAGCTCTGAAAATGGGAGATTCCAAGAGCTTAGTACACTGTAAGTAGCTCTTACAGAGTTTTTGTGGCACTTTTTGTACATGCCTAGAGAAATCACAAGTGAGTCATGGGTTAAATGGGACACAGACTGATGTGTCATTGTAAAAAGGCAGCTTTCCAAAAACTTCCGTTTAGGTCAAAGACCCATCTATCCCCCTCCACTGGCTCTGAGAGTAACTGGTACCAAATGGTTATGGAAACTGGTTACAAAGTAGGGCAAGTATAGAACAATTCTTCCCTAGTACAGTCTTCTAATTTCTTGAAGAGAAAGTTTTAACAGTTCAGTAAGCTGTTTTCTGTATCTAGATCATCTAGCCTAATTGCTTTATTACTTCTTCAAAAACTCAAGAAATCATTTCATGCCTTGATAATTATCTGCCGCTGTAAAGTTCAAATTGTAAGCTGCAAGTTGCAAGGTTAACTCTGCAATTCAGCTTTGGAATCATTTTTCTTCTTTGAAATAATCTAAAATCAGTTGGCTCAGATGATTAATTCCCCTTGGGATATCAAAGAAGGTGTGTTTAAAAGCATATTCTGGTGTCTGCTTTGCAGTTTTTCCTTTTTTTGGTTTAACTTTCCCCTTGTAATATGTAAAATGCATGCTGATGTTATCACACCAGCTGAAACTGTCTTGTCAGACTGGTGGAAGGTTCAGTCACATGCGGAAGTGCTTTCTCTTCAGTGTGTTTATCTAGAAGTGCTTCATTTTAACATAGATACAAAGTATTATCAAACTGGTGCCTTCTGTGGTCTGAAACAATATCAGTGAAAGCAGAATGAGAACATGATGAAAATTCAGCACATCAAACACAACATGATTTGAGGCCAAAGTCCTCAGCTCAGAGGCAGTAATAATAATTCCATGATGATGTGCCGATCCTTCTGAACAGCAAATTGGCATTAGTTTGCAGTGCCTCAGTTCTGGGACCCCAGTCTGAAATGTATTCAATCCTTTAGCAAGGTATCAACTGCCAAAAAACCCAGTGCTGACATTCAGCACACTAAGCTCCCAAATCAGAGATTGCTTTTAGAAATGTAGCTTCTACTTCCATGTCTCTTCCTGCAGGTGAAAGCAATTTCCTTTCACAACTCCTAGAACATAAGGTCAGAAGAAATTATTAGCTCATATATTCTGCCCTCCTTTTCAGCACCATCCCATGTGTCTCACCTGTCACCCTAACATGGAGTCCAGAGCTATGCCTGTAGGCAGTTGGATGAATGCCCATACAAGTGGCAGATTGTTGTGTGCTCTGTCATGGGACACGGGGCTTGACTGAGGTGCAATGACCTAGCTGGCATGTTTGAACTCATGCTTTGAAGGAGACTGTGAGCTCTACCTGGCATCTTTGTTGGCATGGAGAATGAAAGAAGGCCTGGAGGCTGCTCTTTAGCAGTGGTGTAGCCTTAAAGCCTTGGGTTAAATCAAAGCAATTAATTTCTTAGGGAAATGAATACGTGATGGACCATGGGCAGAAAACATCACAGCCTGAAGCACCTGCAGTGGTGGGGAGAAGGGCTGAAGAGGGCTACACTCAGAGAATAAGAGCAGCATTCCTTGTTGCCCTCTTGCTGACAACTGCCTTTGGTTTTATGTCAGGAAGAGACAGGAGAAGTGGTGAAGAAGGCTTTGGATGTTGTTACTATTGCTGTCCCCCCAGCTCTGCCAGCTGCCTTGACAACGGGGATCATTTATACGCAGCGGAGGCTGAAGAAAAAAGGCATCTTCTGCATCAGCCCACAGAGGATCAACATGTGTGGACAGCTAAACCTCATCTGCTTTGACAAAGTAGCTGCTATGTGGTGGTTACTTTCTTACTAGTAGTGGGAGGCACAGAAGGGCAGGGGAGAATGTGGGTTTTGATCAAGAATTTCCATTACATTTTAGAAACACACTGATGCATCTTGTAGTTTGTGTTGTCTGAACAGACACTGTTTTGAATTGTTGTTTTTCTTGGAATCTAGGAATTGCCTGGTAGCACTTTTGCTCTGCACTGTGCTGGCATTTTTTGGACAGTAGCTTCTTAAAATAAGACTTGCTTTGTATTCTTCTTGGAGCTCTCAGGTGAGAAGTTAATTGAAATGTACATTTTAACTTAGACTGGCACCTTAACAGAAGATGGCCTGGATCTTTGGGGCTTGCTGCCCTCTGAAAGAAACTGGTAAGGTTCCTTGACACATCAATGGCATTTAAATTTTGTGGGATAGTGACTGGATTCTCCTCCTACATGTATGAACAAATCTGAAAGACAGTTAAAGTCAAAGAGCAATTCGATGTTCCCCACCTTTTTTTTCACTATTATTTCTGTAGCCTCTGGAAAATGAGTTGCTTGCCACATTCCACGCATCCTGCTCCATGTGAAAAGATGCAGTGACTGTTCTCAGCATTTGGCACAGTGAGGTCAAACAGGGTAGTCTGCAGAAGACATGCTAGGCTAGGTCTCAAAGCTGCAGCTGTGCCCCAACACCTAATGACAGGAAGTCACTGTTACCCATGGTTGCCACTCACTTCCTTCGGTGCCCGTTTGCCCATTTACATTTCCAGATATGTGCATGCAGATATTCAAACTTATATCAGTCTCACAGCTCTACAGTCCTTGCACAAGCCTCCTGGAAGATGTTTTATAATAATCTGTTCTTCTATCTGTTTCAATGGACCCCTTGACTATGCAGAATACACCTGGTCCAAGTGTGTGTATCCCAGCCTTTAATAATGAGAAATAGCTTATGGGGGAGGACAAGTCCCCAGAGACATGCCTGGGGTATGACCACAGGGTAGGATTTTAACAGCTCCCTGTTTTAGGATTATTTTTTTTTCTGTCAGTCATATGTTGTTTGGTGTTCTCTGTTGGTAATTTTTATATTCTCTTTTACATTAGTTTCCAGGACATTCACAGCTTCCCTGCAGACCACAGCCTGCCTTGGGGGCCAGTGTTCAGAGCCATGGCCGTTTGTCATTCACTCATTGTTTGGGAGGGCAAGATTCAAGGAGACCCGCTGGATGTGAAAATGTTTGAGGCCACTAACTGGGTAAAGTTGTGCTTTGTTATTATGCAAATAGCAGTGAGGAGTTTTGGTGTTCTCAAAAAGGAGAAATGTCCCAAGCCCTCCCATGCAAATAGCCAGTTCCCACATAGAAGTAAACCAGTTAAAACCTAGAAGAGGTACCACATGCTCAAGCTTCTCAAGAAATGTTCCTAGAGCTTTCTTCTAGGGGTACTTTGAGTACTTAGCTCATTTGATTGGAAGTGGTGGATCTTGCAAACCCCACTGGGATACCAATTCGTACTGTGGCTGCTGCCAGATAACAGAAAGTCCCAGATGTGATTTATAAGCAGATCGACTGCTTTCACAGATCACTTAGAAGACATCTGCCAGATTTGAACTAGCTTCTCTCTACAAGACATTTGTTAGAGCTCTGTCAATATAGAGATACTTCTACCGTCGTCAGGTTTGAAATCCCGTGCCCCTGTGGAAGCACTCTGCTTTCAGTCTCTGTCCCATTACCTACAAACAGCCGTCAGTGTTGCTATTTAGTCTTGATCAGTGTGGAGGTGGGTGGGAATGAGTATTTATGGAAGCTTGAAAGCTGCAGACCTGAGATGGATAAGAGGAAAAGAACCCATATTTATGTATTCATAGAATCATAGAATCCT